TAAATTCAGGATTTATCGAAACATATTACGAGCTTTACAGAGGAAACATCAAAGCTGTGATCCAAGAAACCACACTAGACTGTAAAATTTAATTTTTCAAAAGAACTACATTGGCAACTCCCGACTGTACTACCAGCCAGCCTATCGCCGGATCGAAAAGCTACTGCGAGTCTAAGAGGCCCCTGGACACTACCTATGAACTAGGTCCGATTTTTCCCGAAGATTTTCACTGATTTACTCTATAAAATCAGCCGTTCGGAGGCTGATTTACTCTATTTCAGACCGATGATACGGCTCGTAACTGCGTGCCGGTGTAATCGTGCATTTTTGCACTTCTAGTCGCCAGCTAGAGCCTCTATCCGGTGATATACAAGTAGAGTCAGAGTGAGCTCTGAGCTGCTGGCTAGGTGTTCATGACGCGAGAGGACTATTGTCTTCTAGATGCAATATGGTTTGATCCTTATACCATTGGGGGTTAGCGTGCGGTGTCTGGGACTCAGTGGGCTTCATAGTATTTAATTGACTTTGCAAAGGATCGGTTGCACTAAAAGCTAGACACTGTATCGAGGAGGTAAAAACACCTAAACTTGAGAGACATGCATGAAGTCCACAGATTGGGCATGGAAAGTCATATATATACACTAGACCCTGGATGGGGTCTAGTCGCGACAACTATAACTTGGTTTGCGAACAGTAGTTCGAGCGAGAACCATGAAACCGAGAAAGCCGAGACATCAGAGATCATCGGGAAATGATCGCGACGAGTGTCAATCCTGGAAGGACGTGTTGCGACGGCAATCACACATAACAAGATAGTCATCAGAATCGATGACAGGCGCTTGGACCAAAGGAATGAGCAAGACGCGTCAATACGGCCGGATGGCAGTGTCGCATCGACCAATAGAGAACTAGAAATAGGCCGCAACCTACGTGGTCGCGCGGCAAGCAGTTGGGGCACGTGTCCGGCTAGCATACGTGTTAGGACCGGCAGGCCTCGGGAACAAACCAATATACCTAGTATGGGTCCGAGCTGGTCAAATCTAGATGACTAGTCTCGGCCTCGTACTACGAATACCAGCGGCATACCTCCGCAGTTCCGTGTACATCAAATCTCTCTTATATCTTGACTCATTTCTCATTACTATCTACAATTCCTGTATCGTATATAAAGCCTAGCAGATCCTGTGATTCAGTACTGCATCTCCCACCAAGGTAACGGTGTTGGTGCTGGTCTGAGCCTAGCGCGGAGATACGTTTATATAACTATCTTTGTTGTTATCGTTCAAATATAAAGTAGTCTTGTTGGCATATATAAGCTTTAAAGGACTTAAGCTGTGTTCATGGAGAGTCGCGACATTTGCGTGAAAGGCACCTGCTTGGTTGTTACCTCAGGTCTGCTGTTGGCACTGTTCCAGTGAGTTCAGTCGCAGTACCCGGTCGTTGGCATCCGTTCCAGTGAGTTCGGTTGCGATCACAAGTCTAGATCCAGTGTGGTCTCCGTCAGAGTACGGTAGGAAATCCTACCTAAGTCTAGAGAGATTTATAGGTCTTCGAGATATCTTTTTGAGGTGTCTAGAAGTATAAAATATATAAAACCCATATCGCTTCAGTCGAAGTAGATAATCCCTGGTCAATCTTTGACTATTTTGTGCTCATATTAGTCCTAATAAGACTTCTATCGAGTTAGCATTTTCGAGACACGAACCTGAGAAGTTCAATCTTACCTGTAAACTGCAGGACGACCCAAACTCAATTGTGTGTGTGTGTGTGTGTATGTGTTGGTTGTAGTGTTTTTAGCTGGTTAGTTGCCGTCTAGCAGCTTTCTGATTATCTTCGTGAACATCAGTGTACCCATAGCCACTGTTTCACAGACATAGCTAAAACCCCCATTTTTTTTCCTTCCAGGCCCCATTTTGGGCCCTGGGCGCACCACAGGTGCTTTTTGGGCCCTCCGCTGCCGCTAGCTAACCAACTACCCTCAAACTATGCTTTAAATCTGAGATACTACAGTTTTCCCCTGTTTTTTTTGCCTTGACCGCTGGTGCCTTCTTTGCAGGTTGTTTGCGAACCATGGTAGGCTTCTTTGGGTTCTTCCTGGCCTTCTTCACTCCACCACAAGGAGCCTTGAGCCGGCACTTCTTCCACCAGCTTTCCTCATCTGGCTCTTCGTAATCATCCTCCTTGTCCGAGCAGTCATCTGAGCCACCAACCTCCAGGATCTGATACACCACCTGCATGGTAAGAGCTTGCCAGTGTACTCATTTATTGTTGCCAGACGAGATGCTGTACAGCCCTTCGTCCTTGTCTTTCTGATCCACATGGGAACCAGCGAGGAGATACACCAGTTCAGATATCAGGGTATGAGTAAAGAGCACAAGGGAATGCCCAGACTCATTCACCAGCACCATGTGGTAAAAAAAGTTGCGCCTGGGAATCTATACAATTTTTGAGTGATGACGGAATATCAATGACTTGAAAACCTTACCTGTGCGTACACCTTGAGACTGAGATAGTTCAGGCCGTCCACCGTTTCTGCGTCCGTGAAACTCTCGTGTTTCCCTGACACGGAATCATATCTGTATATCCCATGAACCTCACCGAGATAGAGTCGGACAGCTGTCCACATAATAACCAGTGAGCTGAGTCGTATTGGTGTAATTCCATTAGCCCCACGAGAACATAGATTGGGAACTGTATTCATAATCAGGAGGTCAGATGTACGTAGAAGACCCGGCAATTTGAGCGCTATGAAATCCTTGACGGAAAGGCCCAGACTTGGAAGGGTGGCTGCAAGACTGGTTGGAATTTGCTTGGCGTCGGTACAAGCATCAGCCACTTCCAGCGGTATGTTCTTGCAAATCTTACCTACACCAAACCACTTCAACATGTGAAAGCACTTGTTGTGATGACTTCGGCCATTAGGGAAGTGGAGGGTGTGACTCACCGTGTGAGTGAGAAAACTTTCCTTATGGTCTGTTATGGTGCTGTGCTTGGCACTGTTTCACAGAGTGCTGCAAGGCACCGCAGAGCACCCGGGATCTCAAAATAGCCCCATCCCAGCTGTAGTGCTTTTAAAAAAATCTCACGCTCCACACGATTTACTCTATGCCAGACTGACATCACCTGTTTTGGCCTTGATTTACTCTATATGCGGCCAGAGATACGGGTCATTTTGGCTCATTGATTTACTCTATCGCTGAAACACTGACTACCTGAACAGATGTGAAATGTAGTAAAAATGTCTATCAATGCCTGAGCACTAACAAACACTAAACCAACACTAAACACTAATCCAAACAATCGAGTGGTGCGAGTACGGGGTTCCAACCAAGTATTAGGTTGATATTTGAACTAGATCTGGTAATAGCTATTTACACGTAAATACTGAGAACGCTCCAATAGCCGATCCAGAGACTCTAATGGGGTCTAGACGAAGCAGAGAGAGGTTTTATCTCGATGGGGTGGTGTGTGGTAGTGCTTGGTAGTCAATAGACTCAAGACTTGTGATCCTTCAATGTTCTCAGCTGTAATATCTGTACCAATCCGTGTGCTTTCCCAAATCCTTATGAAACCCAATATGACCCGATACGACCCGATATGAAACCGATACGACCCGATACGATTCTGTTTCCTTAAGATTCTTTATGCGCACATAGATCCAACAACCAACAAATATATTTGACCAAGAATAACAGAAAGAACTAACAAGTTCCCAATGGTACTCCTAGTGAATCCAAGGCTTCCCAAGCGACAATACCAGCTGAGCTGAGTACGTCTAGCAAGAAGGGGTGAATTCACTGGCTTTCCACTCGAAACCTGTTGGTATTTATACAGGAATTATACATCACATGATAAAAGAAATAAATACTACAATCAGTCCACTTCGGTATATACGGATAAACGGACCTGGCTATTTAAAGGTACATGCATCAAAGACCCGGTTAAACGGCTAAATAAGTGCTCTATCCCGAGAGCTGTGCGTCTATCTTTCTGTTTTAAGGTGTTGCCATCATATCTTGATGGACTTGTTATCTTTAGACGTGCCAAGTATAGCGTGTCCGGATAAATTGTAGTAGAGATTGTCCGGGCCAACCAGCTTAGCCTTATAGATAGACTGGCTGTCCTGCATCTCTACCTGATGACACCTTTGTCACCCAACTATTCCCATGGTGCCCTAATTCAACCGAATGGTTGGACTTTGATTTACATGTAAATATAATCTTTGATGATTTACGTGTAAATACACAGCAGGTATTGATCCTGATAGTGTTACTGACTGTCCCTGAACGATTCTTGAGCTCTCCAAGGCATCCAGGCTCGTGTGATTAAAGTTACAGTGACTTAATATGTCACAAATGTCGAACTTGTGCTTGCAACTGCACCAACAACTCTGCTGATTTGATTTGACCTGCAATCTGGATCCCTTATGAATTCACAGTCTAGATGGATGGTATGTGTTATGTCCTTGATATATGACACTTTCCAAATGTCCCAATTCGATCGAATGGTTGAACATGGAATTACGTGAAATTCTATTGTAGCCCACCTGGCCGTTGACCCTCGTGGTATCGGTGACCAGGCAAGTCTATACAATGTAATCTCTTGTGAAGTGCCTTTAGCCAACAGTCCGGACCTCACTATGGCTCTCATTGTGGGCCAAGTAATAAATAAGCATTGTTCTACTTCAGTAAGTAGAACAAGAACATTGAAATTGATAGATTTCAAGTCTGGTCATTTTCCATGCTTATCATCGCGGACCTAGTTCATAGGTAGTGTCTGGGGGCCTAGTCTAAGTGTATACACAGCTTGGTATCAATAGTGCTGCGGTACATTTGGGTATGCTGTAAGAGAGTGGTTGGCAAAAATGTTTGCAGATTCTAAGAGCAAAACACGTCTCGAACAGACCTGCTGACATCCCAATTTGGGACCCTCTAGGCTCTGATGAAGTTCCTCCTAAATTGGGACGTCAGCGAGGTCTGCGTTGCGAGACTAGCAAAACATGGAGACACGGGGTTTTGAACCCCGGGCCTTTTGCATCGGACAGAAGATTGCAAAGCGAATGTGATACCACTACACCATATCCCCGGCAGTGCAGCATATCCGCCTCGCAGTGCACATCAAACGGAACTAGATTAGGGAAATGGAAATGAACTATTTTTTTCTCTCTCTCTCTCCTCGGTCCAAGATTGCTCCTTTTCTTGCACCTGTTTATTTGCACGAGAACTGAGGCACAACAACTAGGGCTGCTCAATTTATCCGTCTTCACGTCATTCGCTTGGAAATAAATAAATAATTCAAAACTCTGCTGCAGCAGTAATTTTCTATGATTCTCTCTCAGAGTTTTGTAGCAAATGTACATACTAGGATTCAAATCTAAATACATGTGGCTGAGAATATCCCAGAGGTAGAGAGGTAACCTCAGGTAGGACGAAGAAGAAACCACTTGCTGGGCAGCACCACCCACGCGCACATCCCCTGTCCTATCAGAACCAAAGTAGACCCAACCTCCCGCTGCACACCCACATCTTTGTTGATGTGTGCGAGCACATGGACCATGTTTCCCTGCTACTCAATCCAGAAAAGTTCTTTGCATGCACATTGCACGTGCATAGGCACAGTGCTTCAGAATTCTTGTATGTAATCTTCCTTATCTAACACTTAAGCAAGCCATTCATAAACTCACGTTGCGCCAGCTTCCACTACTCGAGTTCCCACAGGAGAGTAGGGATGGCAACAAAGAGGAAGCTGTACTGAGGGATGCGTGAGACAGACAGACATAGGGGGTTTGAGATGGTCTGGTGAGGCCTGAGGGATGAGAGGGTGAGGAGTGGCAGGAATAGGCTGATAGAATGGATATCCGCACAGCTAAGATGTACCGAGTGAGTGACTCAAATAGGGAGCAGACAGAATAGAGAGCAGGCAGGCAGGGTGTACACGCACCAGCACAGCTCACAGTTCATGCCCTGCTCGCCTGCTCGGGACCCCGCCAATGGCCGATACTGGGTCATCTTGTCATCTTATCCTGCCTCCATGTCACGGTTGAGCCCATGTCATCTTCCTTCAAGTTGGAGTGGAAGTCCATGAACGAGCACTTCATGCTCCCGGACTGAGCCTGTGAGGCCAATGGGGGACAGCACCTTTGGCCCTCATCGCTGACAGGCATGGTTGGGTTGGTGTCAATACTGCCAGCACAGCGTGTGTGAAGCGGGGTTTGAATTCTTTATTTATTTCAAACGAATATTGTGTGAACAACGTGAACGACGGATAAATTGAGCAACCCTACTTTAGCAGGTTCCTACTGAGCCGCAGTTACGAGGTTCAGAGTAGCGGGAGTTCAATTGATATCTCAGAAATTGATTGGTTGTTACATTTTGACGTATGACCAGACAACACAATGTGATAGAGTGACCAGCCGTGGAGAGGTTCATCCCTCAGCCTGTTCTTGGTCACTAATAACACCATCACATCACCCGGTCCGATTTTTCCGGTTAGTCATTTCTCTGTATTCAATTTTGAAAAACTACTACTCTGTATATGAACCTCATAACTGCGGCTGGGTAGGAACCTGCTAGTCTAGATTTGTTTGACAGCTTGATACCATAGATCGCTGTTGGCATTCGGAGTTAAACACGTGATTACAAACAGCGCCACATACACTCAGACGTGTTCCCTTACATCCACCCGCAATAGGCTCACCATGACTTCTTTTTGCAATTTTCTCCTTCTGTAGTCTAGCCTGCATCAACTCCTTTGTTTACAGTCTTAACTTCTTTGCGGTACTGAGATCCATGTTCTCATTTAGTTCTCCCCAATCTCATGGCCCCAAGTGTGATTTCTGCCTCGTTCCCAGTGGCCGGGGTGACCCCAGATTACACACCTAAGGTCTGGACTGGTATCAAATGAAAAGATGTTCCAATGAGAGAGGTGATGACCATGTGTGCTTGAAGTAATGCCTGGATACTTAAGTATCCGGGTGTGCTAATGATACAATCATTCCCCATTTAGATAAAATCGCCTTTTTAGGAAGGTGGATTCAAGATCATAGAAAAACGGTACAAACAAGATGAGACATGCAAGCACAGCTTTGACTTGCACAGCAGGATCATTATCCTTGGTAGCGGTAGTGGACCTACATTTCTTTGTTCAGGTTCTGGTAGTCCTTGCAAAAAAAGAGCAAAAAAAGATTGCCGTATAGATATGGTTCTTCAACAGCTTGGTTTTTGGGAACCTATGAGTGGAAATTGCTTAGGAATGTACTGCCCACCTGAGTAGGGTTTTGTTTTGCAAAACATCCCAGCAATTGCCAGGGAGTCCGAAACATCCCAGTAATAGCCTTATATAATAATAAAAGAATGTACTTGATAGGATTCAAACTCAAAACCCTTTGGTTACCTTGACTGGAAACAAGATAACATAATAAACAACTGAGTCAAAGACCTAATATCAAAGTTGTTTGGTGTGAAACCTAGATATTCTAGTTCTATTTTACTTCCTAATTACACGGTGTAGAGCGGCCTACTTACTGATATTCTTACTTGTATATTCTTACTTACGATTTGTACTTACATAGTCACATGATCTCACATAATGCATCATCTAACTCATCTACTACTCTCATGGCATGAACGTCTTCGACAACGATTAGGGATCCCTGTACCCCTCAAGCTGCCTGAGCATGCACGCAAAGGCTCCCTGAGCTCTCAGGTCACAGAGCCCCGGATCCCAGGTGACAGATCCCCTGGTCGCAGGGTCACAGCGATGACTTGGTGCCTTACTGGCTGCCTTGTTGCTGCGACCGCAATAACAGCGCCTACGGGGCTGCTACTATCGTGGATATCTCCAGCTTTGGCCCTACGAAGCTCCAAGAACCGTGCCGCATCACATTTGGGATAGAAACATACCACAGACCTTTGATATACAAACCTAGCTGTAGCTTGCCCCTGCACCTTCCATTTCGGAAAGGATGTGGTTTGGAACCAATTTGAACGTCTCATGGGGTAGAGGAAGGGCTTAATAGATGTTGTGGTCCAAGATGGTAACCTTGTTTTTTAGAGCGAACAATTTCTTTATCAAATTCAATGCAGATTGGACTTCCATTCTATACTATCTATGTGATTCTTCTTTCTGCATACAAAACACGTACAATTTTCTTCTGTACCATTTTCCGTGAAGTTGGCTGTACCTTGCTGTATATCATTTGCCTTTGTTTCAGTTGATGATGAGTACAAAAGCCCAGAGCAAGATGTCCTGGCTGCAGTCTTTCACAATGTTTCCCACTTTTGAGTTTCTCAAATCTCATGAGGAGGACAAAACATTTTTAGCCTCACAGGTTTGTTGTTCAAATGCATTACTTATACACCATGCATTCACTCATAGCAATTGTCATCATACATAAACATGGGTAGGCCAGAAACCGTCTGGAAATTACGCCTCCTCAGCTTGCTTGTATTTCCTAGATTGCTGAAACCCAACACATTCTCTTCCTTGGCAGAGACCTCATACTGCTCCCTTTCCAACGTTTCCTTGCTCCCTACATTGGACGGTGACGTACTCTGCAAATTGAACAGCAGTACACAGATATTGGATGGGGTTCCCCAATTCTTCAGTGCAGTTCCAAAATGAGATCCACCAAACCTTTTTTTTTTTTGGAGTGTTTAGAATGACAAAACAAAGTTGGCAGAAGCATTCTATGTTTGTCTACTTGTGTTGTTGGTTTTGGACTAGTTGACCTACTGAGCCTAATATTATCCTAAGTCTTCTCCTGCCAAAGGAAAAGGCATGCTCTTTGTCAAGGATGATAATTATTACTAGTTGCATGATGGGCATTGGGTTGACCAAATTCTGGGGTATCCAGGCTCCACCCGGCAGGGCCATTACCTCGGAATATTATTTACAACTCGGGTAGATGTGGTGCCACTGTATGAGGTGAAAACAAAGGCAGAAGAGGAGCTGGAAGTGATGGAGATGGGTTTGGTATATTGATACTCTATTGGAAGCTTTCATACCTCTTCAGACTAGTCAGAAAAGCATGTGGTGCTGACACATTTCAGATTTCATGGTGCACGTGCTGATTTAGTGCCATCCCAATACAGAAGGTCCTTCCTAATCCAGAATTTGTGGTCACGAAGGCCGGACTACGGTATTTGACACGCGAACAAAATCAGACCATAAACAGTTTTTTTCCCACTCTGCTCTTACAAAGAAAAAAACACGTGTTTGGTCTGACTAGGGAAACTAGGAACCCGCTACTTTACACGCCTATCCGGTCGAAACCCAGGAACCAGGCTCCTGATCAGCTACTGGTTTCCAGCTGTCAACCATTGGTTTCCAGGAGCCAAGTACGCACGCCACTGGTGGACCCACTGGCTTTCACTGGGTGGGTCTGGGCCTAAGCGAGGGCAATTTGTAAAACAAATAAGAGCAACAAGGTTCGAACCCTAGCACAAAAGATTATGTAATAAATACAAGAACCACCAAAGCATCTAAACTACTGTACTATTTCAACCAAGTCTTCACACCATGTTACGCGTCACCGCAAGTCTTCATTTGGGAGGTCTTCATTTCTGACAAATACGATCAATAATTGCCATAAATGGAAATTTGGCATGTGCCGGACCGATTTTTTGACGATTTTTAGGCCTATTTGGGCTCGAAATGTCTTCGTTATGTGTTACTGGGACCAAAAGTCTTCAATTCAGCAAGCCGTGTTATGCGTTACGTGAAGACTTGGTCGAAATAGTAAAGTGCAGACATGGTGGAGTACATGTACAACTGTGTACTCATGGTCAGTCAGGCATCCTGCCTGCCTTTAATATTCTTGTGCCTAAGTCCAATGGTGCGGTCTCTCCAGTGATATCCTGCTCCCTGGGTGCTAAGTCTCAGGAAATTCTGCAGCCATCAAACCTTAACATTATCATTCTGTGCATAGAGGAGATTTGTCTGTAGTCTGGACTTGTGTACATGCTTGTACATGCCTTACCAATTGGCGTGCTCCAAACACGGGAAGTGCCTATTTTGAGGAATGCCATCATTTTGGGGCACATCAGAGCGCATCAGCTATTGACAGGTTTGCCGTCTATTGCCGG